CCCCAGCCTTGGACTTTTACTTTATTCCTTTAACTTTTACTGAGTGGAAAAGATTATATACCTTGTTTTCAAGCAGTAAATTTCTGCTTTTTATGTAATCTAATCCATTGGTGATGATACTTTCAAATGGTTTTTTTTTTTTTTTTTAATTATTGGGTCCTTCATTTCCAGGAATTCTGATTTTGTGATTATCAAAATCTCTCTTTATTGAAATGGTCTTTCACCTTTTATATTTGTTTTCTTAATTTGTTCATTAGAACTTCTTTAACCACAAAAGTAATTTTGAAATTTTTAATAATTTGCTCCTTTTGGAGGTACATGACAGTAGAATATATTTTGACATATTATAACCACATGGAGTCTAACTTATTATAATTAAAATCCCATTTTTGTGTTTATACATGATGTGGAGTTAAACTTGTATTGTATTCATATATGAACATAGAAATGTTATGTCAAATTAATTCTAAGTAGTTTTTTATTCCCATTCACTCCCCCTTTCTTCCATTCCCCTTTGTCTAATCCACTGAATGACTATTTTTCCCTCTTCCTCCTTATTGTGTGTTTCTCTTTGCATATCAGGGAGAACTTTGGTCTTTGTTTTCTTGGGGGGACTGGCATATTTTACTTAGCATGTTAGCCTCCAGTTCCATTCACTTACTGGCAAATGCCATAATTTAATTCTTCTTTATGGAAGAGTAACATGCCATTGTTTATATATATATATATATATATATATATATATATATATATATATATATATATATATATATTTCTAGTTGGACACAATACCTTTATTTTATTTATTTATTTTTATGTGGTGCTGAGGATCAAACCCAGGGCCTCACACATGCAAGACAAGCACTCTACCACTGAGCTACACCCCAGCCCACATGACATTGTTTTTTTATACCACATTTTCTTTATTCATTCACCAGTTGAAGGGCATGTAGATTGTTTCAATGGCTTAGTTACTGTGAATTGAGCTGCTATAAACATTGATGTGGCTGCATCATTGTAGTGTGCTGATATTAAGTCTTTTGGGTATATAACAAGGTTTTGGATAATTGGGTCAAATTGTGGTTCCATTGTATGCTTTTTGTGGAATTGCCATACTACTTTCCAGAGTGGTTGCACAATTTGCATTCCCGCCAACAACGAATGAATGTATCTTTTTCTCTACATTCTTTTGGACATTTATTATTATTTGTATTCTCTATATTTGCCATTCTGATTGGAGTGAGATGGAATCTCAGTGTAGTTTTGATTTGATTTCTCTAATTACTAGAGCTATTGAACATTTTTTCATATATTTTTAAACCATTCTTATTTCTTCTTCTGTGAAGTGCCTGTTCAGTTCCTTTGCCCATTTATTGATTGGGTTATTTGGGTTTTTGGTGTTAAAGTTTTTGGGTTCTTAATATGTCCTGAAGATTAACACTCTATCTGAGGTGCATGTAGCAAAGATTTTCTCCCCTTCTCTAGGGTCTCCATGTTCTTAATTGTTTCCTTTGCTGTGAAGAAATATTTAGCTTCATATCATCCAATTTATTGATTCTTGATTTTACTTTTTGTGTTTTAGGAGTCTTGTTGAGGAAGTTGGTTCCTAAGCAGGCACTGTTACTGTCCATGTGGTATGACATGGGAGTAAGCTTGAGACTTTCCCTCTGATCTTTCTTAGACTCAAACCCATAACCCCCTGTCACCCACACCATTTATCACTCTAGCGAGTGTGCCCCTTTATAAAGGAAACACCCTTGTAATTCACTTTGCAGAGCCCCAGCAAGGTAAAAGTTCCTCTTCTATGCTCAGAATATTTCTAGGTTTGGGCACCAATGATCCAGTGAAAAGTATAGCCTATGTAACTGGTTTTGTATGTTTAAAGGTAACTCTGTTGGAGATTACAAGTTCTGTGTTCAGCCAAAGACTCCTATGTTTTGTCCCCAATAAACACAACCCAAACTTTTCTAAGTTCATGCTCTCCAGTTGCAGACATGTTCATTAGAATCTATTTTACTTAAGTTCATTAGGGAAGTGACTTTCTTCTTGGAGAAGGAGTGCTTTCCCTCTCTCACTGAGATACAGTGTGCCTGACACTGCAACCATCTGTTACCTTTATTTATTATTTTCCTATTCTTGGGACCAATACTTTTGGTTTTCTTCTGAATACTAGATCACCAAATTGCCACCATATTATGCTCCTGCCAATCCTCATTTCCGTACTTCAGTTTGTTGCTTCAGAACTACTGCTTTAAGTCATTCTTGGAGAGCTGCTGCAGCATTGGGGTTTCCTCTGAGCCACTATCCTCCTTTTTCTATATATTTTGATACATAAGTTTGATTTACAGGCTTGACATGTCAGACCTAAGTCCTAAACTTAGTGAGGAAGTGTATGTCAAATATAGTTGATGTACACATATGAAGGGATACAGTGATGGTTTCTTATAATTAATAACCTACCTTTTATTTAAATCTTAAATCTTTCCTTTGGGATACATCTTAAAATCATTTATTATAGAAAACTAATTTAATATTCAGGTGTAGCAATAATAAATTCAATGGGAATTCTTTAGTAATATAAGTGGAGAAAATGTCCATTTATTTTGAAGTGCTAGTGTTAACAATAAAACACTTTAAAATCAGTAGACACTGTATTAATGCATCTAACATTCTCAGTATATCATTAATCATGATAAGATACTGTTATTAATATTGATATAATCCACTTCTATTATGATGACATGTTTTTTCATGGGCTTCTAGAATCAGAGATCATTACTGTTATATGATACCCTACAGGTTATCTAGTCCATCTCCCAACCTGAATGATGCATGAATCTTTTCTCTAACGTGTTGACAAGTAGCCATCAAGTCTATTCTTCAGTACCTCCATTGAAGGGTGCTTAGCTTCTTTCATTAAATACACTATTGTAATATTTGACAGCTATAATTACAGCATGTGTCTTTTATTATTAAACAAAAATCAGTCTTTCTGAAATCTATGACCATGGAATTTCATTCTGCCACTTGGAGCCACAAGAACAAGTCAGTCACTTCTATCCACAGTAGCTCCTCAAGTGATTAATGAGCATTATTATTCATCTCTTTTCATTTTCATCTCAACCATGTATTTCTGTTCTTAAATATCCTAATTTTATTCTATTGTTTCTAACACAATAATATTCTCATTCTGTAGCTGGTCTATTCACTCTCTTTGTACTCTAATTTGCTCATGTCCCTTTAAAAATGTGGCACCTATCATTAGCAATGTGCCCCAGATGTGACTTATCTCCTATATTTATAGTGATAAGTCACTCTATCTCAATTCATGCAGACTAAAATGGCACTTTTTGTTTAATGTAATTGACAATTAAGCTATATTTAGTTTATAGTGAATTTTGTAGAGTATCTATATTAATTATACATTATTTTCTTTATCCATGTGTTTCTTACCATGTAGAATGCAAGTAGCTTTTAGAAATTAAGAGCATGACTTTACAATAAATTTCACTGTGCTATTTTTAACTCATCCTTGTGACCTTTTGGACACATTGATTTTGTCATCTATTACATGATTATCATGGTACCTGACATACAAACAGTTAGCTTACTTCCACAATGTTTGAGCTGTATCATATTGTATATTTTAATTTTTAGGTGGATATCTAACACTTCCATTAATTTGAATTGTCTCTTAGAAAATAAAATGGGTATTGTGTCTATGCTATTTGGACAAATATGTAGCTGTTGTTTGTTCCTGTAATGCTCAATGCACTTTTTGAAAACTAGAAATAGCTTTATTTCACTTCTATTGTCAAAATTTAGGCTTTCCACCCCAAATTTGCTTGCTACTTTGCTGGGTTACTCCCTATGCTAATGCCCTATATTTTATCTAGAATTTCCTTTTTCTACTTTCACTTGATGAATGCATTCTCATACTCCAAGGCCAAAATGAAATTCTACAACTTTTGTAATTCTTTCTTTGAAACTCTCAATTAAAATTAATCTCTTTCTCCTCTTACAAACCTAAGATAATAGCCTTGATACATTTTATGCCATTTAAGACAGACTATAATTATTTACACCACCTTGGATATGTGTTTCTATTTCTATCATTAGGTTGAAATTTGTATAAAGCTAGAGACTTAATAGTCCACACAACCTCTACGTTAGTTGTTTTAAGTACATACTAAAAGCTGAATAAATTTTAATGACTTTAATTGAAAGCACACAAAATATCATAGGAGACAAGATTTTATAAGACATTAAATGAGAACTATGATATTTGTATCCCAATTTCTACCTTTCTTTATATGACCTTGGGCATTTCATTTCTCTTCTTTGTATCCCACCAGTATTAGCTACAAAATGAAGTACTTCTACTTATTATTTATTCAGTTCTTCAAATACTTTGTTGAATTGTTTTAGACCAGGATGCAAGAAAAGACCACTGACTCCAATTAAAATCAAATTAAAGCAAGCTTATTATTTCGACCGGCAGGGCTGCCTCTCCCTCCCAAAATGGCGGGAATAACACAGCACCCCAGCTTTCCTGCAGCTCAGCTTTATAGCCCAGAATGTTACACAAAGGGGGGTTACAGATAACAGAATTCTGACAAGCATCACACTAATGGTAGTTTACATTTTTTGCTGGCCCCAACATCAGAATTTATGAGGACCATTAGAGCCTCAGAGAGGGTCGTTGTCTGGCCAGGGAAGGCCAATATTTATGAGGTGTCACTAAGTTTCAGAGAGGGCTGCTATCTGGTCAGAGAGCCAGGCATGGGTGAGTTCAAGGCACGGGCAGGCATTCCAAGAAGGTTCAGAATTTGCAGTAATTTATAGTAAAGCCAAAATTATCTTTTCATGGTTTTGTGGTGAGATGCCCAGTTTTAAGAAAAGATCAGGTTGGGTCTATCAAATTGAAAGGTGTATAAGGTATTAGAATTTAATTTTCAAAATCTTACAATTAAAAATAGGGTTTACTTTTTCTCTGGCAGTGAACCAGCCTCACCCCAAGCGCTGTATTCCTGGATATCTCTTTCCTATGCCAATTGCTGTTGGGCCTTTCCCACATCCTTCTTTTGATGCAACTACAGGTGAGTTTTAAAAAAATATTACTGGGATCCATGTTGTATATTACAAAGATATATGACTATTAAGAGTTTATATAGTTTTGATTAAATCAATGATTCATGCTAGATTTTGGACTAAGTTTGTTATCTTTGCTTCTGGAGTCCAGTTACAAAATAAATTTCATCTGAACAATTATCCTATAGGAGATATTCTATGTAAGTTAAAATAAAAAGAACAGAGAACAAAATTTAAAAATCTACTGTGTGAAGCTAAGTAAAAAATGATATAATTATCTACTCACATGAACTACATTAGATACTAATAGAACCATTTAACAAATGAGGAAACTGATATTCAAAGTGGTGGAACCCAAAGTAAGTGTTAAGTAATTTTTATTCTAAAACCCAGATTGTTGCTCTTTATGCTACTCTGATCCAAAATAGAATTGAGCAAGGGAATTCAAATTTCTCTTTAACACCTGTTCTTACAATATTCAGAAACTTGCTCTACTTCCATTCCCTAGATTTGGAGATTAGATGGAAACATATTTCTATCAGAATATCACAAATTTGAATTTTTAACACTGAATTTAGAAATTAACAAGGGATTGATTCTAATTCCTCAAGGACACCAAAATACAAGATTTTCATATCACTTATGGAGCAACGTTTGCATGTAAACTATGCATATTCTTATACACTTAAATCATCTCTTGATTATGTACAATACCTAATAAAATGAAGAAAGCTATGCAAACAGTGCTGTATTTTAAATTAATAATGACAGAAAAAATCTGTGCCTGTTTAGCACTCATGCAGTTTTTCTTCATCTATTTTCAATTTGTGATTACTTTAATATGTAAATATGGAACACACAGATACACAAAGATGACCATATTTGAACAGGAAAAAAGAGAGAATTTCTTCATAAGTTAAAGTGTAAATTAGCATATATTCAGCAAACATATTACAAATAATCAGTATGTAACAATCTTATTTAATAAATTCCTTTCCCCTCTGTTTGGTTGTATTTATATTGTATCCAAGATTACACATTATATTACCTACAATCTACTATAGTTACTTTACATTAAAACCAACTAAAAAGTATTCAAGAAGTACATAGGATATACTTTCTAGCATTAATTATAATTTCACACAGGACTTTCACATCCATTACCTCATTTTATCATCATAATTAATGGCAAAAAAGTTAATGCCTGTAATCCTAGAATCTTGGGAGCCTGAGGCAGGAGTAACACAAGTTCAAAGACAGTCTCAAACAATTTAGTGAGGACCTAAGCAACTTATTGAGATCCTAATTCAGAATAAAAAAAAAATTTAAAAAGGCCTATGGATATAAGTTAGTGGTTGGGCACCCCTCGGTTAAATAACCTGGCATAAAAAAATAAAACTTTGGTAAATATATGAGATTTTTGATAGGACCATTTTAATAAGGATAACTTGGGTTAGCTGTTTGTATGCTATTTTTGTCCTACAGCATTATTACATGGACTAAAGTACAAACAGTGCAGTTCATCTATAATTTTTCTAATAAGGTTCAAAACATACAATTTTACTTTTTGAATAAAACCCCATTCCTTTATCTCAGCTATAGTAATAAAAATATTAATTATTTATTTTGATATTATTATATTAGATGAATCAAAATTATCATCATTCTAAGTAAAAATGAACCAACCAAAGATGATAATGATAATAAATACTTATTGAGTACTTAGTATGGTCCAGGCATTGAGTTAGTATTATGAATATTATATGTATAATATATATACATATATATTATATATTATATATATACATATACATATATATTATATATTTTATATATATATATATATATATATATATATATATATATATATATATATATATAGTTTATGTGTGGGTGTGGGTATGTGGGTGTGGGTGTGTATCCTCATTCAATACTCATTCTGAAAAAAACATGTCCATGGAACCATCAACACCAAATTGTCCTACTGTGCCCTGAGAGGATGAGAGATAGGGATAAACAAAATTTATCATTTACATTCTGACAGAGAGTGAAAAATGAAGGAAAATAGCACCAATGGATTTTTTTTCAGGGCCACAATCAAGACAGACAGAACCAACACATGCATTTAAGCAACTCTACTGATTCCTGGCAAATTGCTCTTTCCACTGTTCTATTCCCTTAGCATATAAAGAAAAAAAAAGAACAATTCAGTTTCCCCTTGTTTCCATGAGAGCTTTACAGCAAACTGCAATAAAATGGCAGTTTGGTTGAAATAATACTGATAATAATAACATCAATCAGTTATTATTTATTAAACACTATGTGTCTACATAAAACTTATTCCATTATCACAATTACTCTTCATTACCATTTTACTTCTGGTAAAACTGAGATTCAGCTAGACCAATAATTTATTACAGATTGCCCAGCTTTTGCAGAGATGACACTTTCAGATACACATTAAACAATTCAAAAAATGCACCATGGCCACCAATAAAAACAAGTGTTAATAATTTTGTGGATTACATTCCCATATATGAGGCATTTTACATTGCATTTGCTTTTCTCCATTGTTTCCTTTTTGGAACTGATAATAGAAGTGATTGCTTATTTCTTATTAATTGAAAAATTGAAATTGGCTTTTGTTCTGGGAACACTAGAAAGATGAACTAGCAAACTTGTTCACCTTTGAATTAAGTATTAACACCATATTCTCATGAAATGAAAGAAATATCAAGATTTTTGTCACAAAATTTGAGGGAATATTATCTGAATCCTCTTCCCTGCCCCTTCCTGTTTCTGATGGTATTTCTATCTCAGAGATACTTGCATTATTCAAAATAGGTTACTGTCACTTACAATCAATAAAATAGCTAAATGTAGTCTTTTTAATTGACCTGAGTTTCTCAGTATCAGATACCTCAAAGAACTTCTTTCAAAGAGTGGATGTTCTAAGGATAAATGCAATTATGGCATTTGCCAGTGAATGGATGGAAATAGAGATATCATGTTAAGAAAAACTAGACAAATTCAGAAACTCACAGGTTTGAATGATTTCTCTATGTGTGGAAGCAAGAGTAAATTAAAGGAAAGGGGGAGAGAAGGATAGGATAACAAAGAACAATCAAATGTAAATTAATAGAGTGCTGAAAGTAAGTCTAGTAGAGGAATGAGAAGGGAAACAGGAGGGAGGGCAGGAGGGAAAAGAGGGGATCATGAACTGAAATCAATTTCCATGTATGTATGACTTTGTTGGGATGCACCCTAATATTATGTATAACTATAAAGCTCTAATAAAAACAAAACAAATCAAGATGTGGCTAATGGCTTTTACCCAAAGGCCAATCTTGATCAGAAAAAAAAAATTGGTGGATGGATGCTGGACTGTGCTAATTCTCTAAAAGAGTTTAAAGATTGTCAATATGTGCAAATTAGAGAGAATATTGTCAATTGATATATGTCAATCTCACTTCCCAATCTGTCCCAAATTAATTCTCCCAGTTTGGCAGCTCTTGATTTAAATTAAATTTCTAACCCCCCAGATATTAGAATTTGTAAGGATCAAAGAGAATATCTGAAACTTGTTTCAGTTGTAGAGAGAAAAATTCAAAGCAATTATACAGAAGAATATGTATTTTTCATTGCAACTAAAATGTAAACAAAGTACTGAATTTTATTCTGGGGAATTTAGGAATACTAAAGAATTTTAAATCTTTCCTGAATGATATAGATCCTTCAAAACTATTTACTTCATTTCACAGCCTGGAGAATCATCTTCACTTGTCCACTTCACTTTGTATTATTTTGTATTAATTTCCCTCAAAATGGCAATTGGAACATCATAAAAATGATAAGATAAATGCTCTCTTGATTTCCATATTTCTTTGCCTTAGTTTTTTTGGAAATTCACTTGTATTTAAAATATATTTATAGGGAATAGTTTTGGGGAAAATTCAGTCTGCTCACATATCCCTCCTGCCATGGGTCTTCATCTACTCAGAAAGGCTAGTGGAAGGACAGGAACAATTGCATGTCAGCAGGGGTATGGATTGTTTAGAAAATCAACAAAGTTTAAAAGACACTAAAAGAACAGGTAAATTTTGTGTAAGAAGGAAGGGAAGCATAAGGCATAGTCAAAGGATTAGGAATCAGGTACTGCTGTTTTCTAATCCCTCAATTTGAAGTCTTGTTTAAGGTTTATTTTCTATACATGGGAGTCAAAGTCACGAGTTTATAGAATGGTTGTCATCCGAGAATTTAGAGTTAGGGAGCCTGCTATAAATAAAAATAATCCTGTGCTTATCCTTTCATCCTTGCAGAATTGAAACTGAGACAAGGCATATGATTCAGTTTAACAAGTATTGTTTTTTAAGCTTTGCTATGCACCAGGAATTTGCAAGCACTGGAAATAAATAAAATAGAATTTTTTCCCATCAAGGAACTCTTAGCTTATTGAAGGATACAAGAAAGAAAACAGAGAATTACAGTCTAGTATGATATATTTCTTTAAAAAGGTAAGTGAAAGGGTGTTATGGTCACACATCAGAGGAGCCTCTAACCAAAACCATATCAGTAAGAGAAGACATCTAGTAAGAAGAATAATCTGCATTGTGTTTTTAAAGATGTGTAGAAAGTGAGGTAAAAAAATTTTTACACAAATAACTATGAAGCTAGAAACTCAAACAAACTTAATACTGATAATTAGTGATAGTATTTTTTGAGGTTACAAAAATATAATTTTATTTCCTATCACTTAAAATAATCTGCATTTTGAAGCTCCATTCCTCTAGTACAGAAGTATGATTTAATTGGTGTACTTTTTATTGATTTTTTAAAAAATAAATGAAAATGGACTGCATTACAATTCTTATTACACATATAGAGCACAATTTTTCATATCTCTGGTTGTATATAAAATATGTTCACACCAATTCGTGTATTCATATATGTATTTTGGATAATGATATCCATCACATTCCACCAAGTGATAGTTTATTTTTATGGTTTAGTCATAATTTACAGAATAATATTTGTATTTTTCTTCTCTCTCTCTAGTGTACAGAGGCTTCTGGACGATTTTTATTATACTGGGTATTGGTTCTGGTCTGGCTGGAGGATTTCTGCTGGTGTGTGGTATGCCCTTTGCCAATGCTGGATGTTACAAAGTTGGAGGTGGCTTTCTGATGATATCAGGTATGTTGTAACTATGGGGACAAATTAATAACCAGAAAACTCTTTGTGTGTGTGTGTGTGTGCACGCATTCACACACACAGCGCACGTGCATGTGACAGAGAGTGCACATGTGCATGTATGCATGTTTGTCATTATATAACTTTTGCATGAATAGAATCTATACTTATAAGAAATAAAATGTAAATGAATAAATGCTGATGAGTTTTATATGTGCCCTAATATAAACTGTGCATAAAAATTTGTTGTTTTTTCCAACATATGTAAAATTTTACTTAGTGGTGGTGAGAAATATCATGTTTAACAACTTATTTACCTATTTCTAAAATCCTGACTTTTGGTTCCCCCCTCTAAACAGGTGACATATTGAAACATTTAGAGCCTCCTCCAATTATTTATTTATTGGCAGCAGTATTCAGTGTATAAGATAGATTTTAAGATGACATTATTATGGGTAAAAATAGAATTTTTGGAAAATAAAACATGTCATAAAGAAAAATATACAGGGGTATTGTGGCTCAGTCGAACAGTGCTTGTCCCACTTGTGTGAGGCCCTGGGTTCAATCCTCAGCACCACATAAAATAAATAAACAAAATAAAGATATTGTGTCCAACTATAACTAAATAATATTTTATACCTTTATTTATTTATTTATCTATCTATTTATTTATTTATTTTTATGTGGTGCTGAGCACCGAACCCAGTGCCTCATACACTAGGCAAGCACTCTACCACTGATCCACAACCCCAGTCCACTAAATAATATTTTTTAAACAGAAAAATACACAGTGTATTCTGAGTCCTTCATAGATCGATATACTCTCCTACATGCTTCCTTTCATAAGACTAAAATAAATTATCTTATACATTGATTATACAATTAAGAAAAGAGTGCTTTACATACAAATAAATTTGACATAAATTAAACTTCTAATTTTTAGCCAAAAAACTCCTCAAAATGTTAGGCGGCATTTTATTTTTTACTATATTCATATTTGCTTTCCTTGTATTGATGAAACTTTGGTGTTTCAACTTTAACCATTTTATTTTTATTTGTAAATATAGAAAACTATGAAAAATTGGAAAGCAAAGGCCACCCATAAACTCACAATCTACAGATAACCAATATTAATATTTTAATGTGTGCTAATCGAATATATTTCTTATAGATATTTATTTTGTTAAAATATTGTGGGGATTATGACAAATATTAGTAGTTAAATATCAGTTGTGTCTAATATTATCATTAATCTTTGTAACATGATCTTTTATAGCAGCATAATATTCTACCATATATTCTTATCATAATTTATTTTATTTTCTGGTACTGTTGATAGAACTCAGGGGAGATTTACCACTGAGTTACATTCCACGCCCTTTTATTTTTTATTTTTTGAGGCAGAATCTCACTAAGTTATCCATGCTGGCCTTGAACTTGTAATCCTCTTGCCTCAGTCTTCTGAAGTGCCAAAATTACAGACATGCATTATCACACCTAGTTCTATCATAATTAATCTTACCTTTACCTCATTTTTTGGAGATTTAATTTGTTTCCATTCATTGCTATTGTATTTGCAATAATAAATGTCCTTGTATAATGTTTCATGAAACAAGTTCTTATTAAGCACTTACTAGGTAAATGATGCTGTGAAGGCTATAGGGTAAATATTGATTGACAAATCAGGTAAGGTCCCTGCTGCACAGAATTTAGAATCTGGTAAAGAGATAGACAAAAATAAGTAAATAAATGTGTAATTAAAATTTTAATAAGTTTGATGAAGAGAAAGTAACAAGATTATGGAGACCAAAATATTGATAAGAGGTACTATTTTGGATGAGATAGATAGGGAAGGTATTTATGAGGAAGTAATACTTACATTCAAGCTGAATGTTGGAATGAGACAGACATGGGGACAAAGTCTCTCTCTCTCTCTCTCTCTCTCTCTCTCTCTCTCTCTGTCTCTCTCTCTGTGTGTGTGTGTGTGTGTGTGTGTCTGTGTACTTGGAGGCATGGAACACAGTGCACATTGTGTGGAGAGTGCTAGAAGAAACAAGCAGAATTATGGGGAGACCTTAAGGTGGTGAAGAAAAACTCGAAGATATTCAGTATATCTAGAGTTTAGGTGTAAGTGGGAGAGTACCATGAAATAAATTTCACAGAGTCATCAAAAGGTAGATAAACAGTGCTTTTTTACAGATCATGGTCAGGATTTTTCATTTTTTCTCTATTTCCATGAAAAGTCATTAAAGAGTTTAATCAGAAGAGGAATATATTTTGATTTTCCTGTAAAATATCATTCCTGCTGCTTTGTGATGAAATAATTGGAAAAACAACAACAACAAAAAAACATTAGAATGGTCTGATATAAAGGTTATAGTGGCATGGAGTAGAGAGTGGCAATAGAGAAGTAAATAATTTTAAGATATATTTAAATTTTAGGTGAGCATTATAAATCATATATAAACATACACATATTAGAACCAGTAGGACTTGTGAGATACAAAGGAGATGAGGGAAAACACAGGTTCATGAGAGAGTCCAATTTTTGTGTATATCACTGATTATTTTATATTACAAGTTTAGTGAAAGAAAATGTATATGTTAAGGTTCTTGCTATCTAATTGTCCCACCAAACTTATGTGATAATATATTTATCTCATTATGTGTATATGATATTTTCTGAAATCTTGCCATTTAAATCATTAATTTATTATGCTACTAATTTCCCAAAATAATAGAAGATAATTTATATACATGTATATGTGAATTAATTTTCAGTTTTCTCCATATTTAATACATAATAGTCTGCTAATACAATCTTCTCTCTTCTCTATGCATTTACAAAATTGTGTGTATTTCTCAAGTTTCAAAGTACATCTAACCTTCCCTCATGAAGTCTTATCTCCACAATATTTTAATTTCCTTTAGGATGGAAGTCTGGTGTTATGTTATCTATCTGCTATACTGTCTAATTCAACACTGAGTATAAAATACATTAATTGATTAGTTGTTGTCTTATTGAAATTTGGTTTCTTTGAATTCATGTCTTATAATACAATGGTGGTCCCATGAAATAATGAAATGAGACCTTGCAATTTATTAATGCTTGTTCTTAGAGACATATACCCAGAAAAGTTCTATATTGAACAATTATTATTTTTTTAATTTCTATTTTTGTATTTTTGATATTTTTATTTGTTCTTTTATGTATGAAAGTAGAAGCGTATTTTGACATATCTTACATACATGGAGTATAACTTGTCTTTTTTTGTGGTTGTACATGATGTGGAGTTACACTGGTTGCATATTCATATATGAAGATAGGAAAGTCATGTCCAATTCATTATACTGTCTTTACCATTCCCATGCCCCCTCCCTTCCCCCCATTCCCCCCTGTCTAATCTGGTGAACCTCCATTCCTCTCTCCACCCCACCTATTGTGAATCAACATCCGTATATCAGAGAGAACATTCAGTCTTTGGTTTTTGGGATTGGCTTGTTTCACTTAACATGATAGCTTCCAGTTCCATCCATTTACCAGCCAATGCCCTAATTTCATTCTTCTTTATGATTGAGTAATATTGCATTGTGTATATGTTCCACATTTCTTTATGCATTCATCTATTGAAGGTCACCTGGGTTGGATCTATGAGCATTCAAGTGGCCATGCCACTATAGTATGTTGATTTTAAATCCTTTGGGTATATGCTGAGGAGTGAGATAACTGGTTTCATTCCACGTTTTATGAAAAACCCCATACCGCTTTCCAGAGTGGTTGCACCAATTTGCAGTCCCACCAGCAATGTATGAGTGTATCATTTTCCCCACTTCCTTGCCAACATTTATTGTTATTTGTATTCTTGATAATTGCCATTGTGAATGCAGTGAGATGAAATATCTGTAGTTTTAACTTCCATTCCTCTAACAATTAAAATTTTAATTATATGGTATATGCCAAATTATATAATGTTATGGTTAATTATATAAAAACACTGATAACAATAACAGTAATTTATTGATGTGTAAGAACATGATGGGTAAGGACATGATGTGTAAGGATAGAAATACCATGAGATATTAGCGGAGTGAGAGATCATTGTGAGTGAACATGGGCAGCAAAGTCACTGTGGTGGAGGTGAGACATTTGCAAGATGATTGAGGTACATGGTAAGGTGAGAGTGTATACTACAGGCAGAGAGGCTTGTGTTTCACAGGTGGTAATGTAGAAGCACTTGAAATAAAATTAAAAATGCTTCCACAACTTTTTTCTAGTAAGATTTATAGCCAAAGAGAGTTATGTAGAAACAAAATTTTGAACTTTACTATAGTTTTGGGAATGAAAGACAGGAGTAGTTGAAGACAGATATTTTGAAGAGTTTTAGGTTAAACTAGACCTAAAACCTAGAAACAGCTAGAAACAGCTCTATGCCAAATAAAATAATTACATGAAATAATATGGTGATATTGACATTGATATTTACATTTGTATATAATTTATTTTGGCACACTTCTGTGCATTTAAATCAACAGGAAGAGTCAACAATGTTTTCTGGAGGAAACACTTTTCTTATTATTTTCACTCATGTGATGCCAACCACCTCAAGCTCAAGAGTATGCCTTAAAGTAAACCTCACTAACTTTGAATCAATTTTGCAATGTAATGTGAATTTCAGGAGCAAATGAACTAGGTTGATGTGACACGGGTCTTAAAATTTGGAGGCAGGGGCTGGGGATGTGGCTCAAGCGGTAACGCGCTTGCATGGCATGCGCGGGGTGCTGGGTTTGATCCTCAGCACCACATAAAAATTTTAAAAAAAATAAAGATGTGTCCACTGAAAACTGAAAAATAAGTATTAAAAAATTATCTCTCTCTCTCTCTTTAAAAAAAAGTTGGAGGCAGCCTTTCTAAACAATGGTCAAGATTGCAATTCAGATATCCCTGGACTTTGTGCTGCTTTAATTTTGGGTGTTTTACATTTAGATAGTTGTTGTCTTGAACA